ATAACTTACAGACATTTCCCGCGTCCTTCTGTGCTTCAGCAGTTCCCAGGTGCTTGTGCCGACCGAAGGGTATTTTGGGGCCCCGACCAGCTACGTCTGGAAGCAAGGTAGGCGACACGTCCTACATTTTCCCTCCATTTCGCGTTCCATTTTTCTAATCGAACAACTGGATAATTCTTTTCACGACCGGAAGTGGCCGCTTAGGCGAATCAGCCCATTTGGAAAGAGCTATGATAATAAATACCGTTATAGATATCTATGTTAGGCCTTGCTCAGCGACGCTCTTGCTTTTGTGACTTCTGCAGGTTATGTTTTATAATCAGGCCACCCGTACACTGGAGCTGCATCAACGGACATAGATGGCGACAGCAGCTTGCAAACTGTACATATAGTCAAGCTTAAAGGACAGATTTCTAGGATTTTTGCCCAACAACAGTCAGTTACCCGGATACATATTAACCAACCAATTTTAATGACTTGCAGCGGGGCCTGCCTGTTTGAGTCCTGATTATCCTTCTTATTTTTTTCTTATCTTTTTTTTTTCGTTGTTTCCAGCTCGGTTGGCTTTCAAGCATCGTGGCTCGTCTGGCTTTACGATAAACTCAAGAAGCTTGCAACTAGAATTACGAATTTCCAACATACCATCCTTATAGGATTTCATGCTTGCAGTTGAATAGAAGTGAACGATGTGCATTAGCAAAGAAGACGAAATGAGCTGCTGTTAGGTGTAGCTAACGGTCAAGGTGAGCTCGCAGTGCCGGTCCTCCACAGATACAACGCATTCCAACTCCCGTCCCATTGCTGCTTGACTTCTTGGCGATTACATTTCCGACCGGTGAAAAAAATCCGCACCAGAACCAGGACTGCCAAGACCTGCTCCGTCTGCCTACCTATTGCACCTCCGCGTAAGACATCTCGTCTGCCTCCTTGCTACGCAGCTCTCGCCCTTTCTTGTTCCGCCTTCCCGCGCCCCATTTTGCCACGGTCCCCCTTGCCTTGCTTTCCCCGCCCACGCGCCCCGCGTCCCTTGGCTTCCTCCCCCACAAGCGTGTCACCGCTGACGTCACCAAACAGATCCCCAAACGGGTCCGGGTATTCCTGGGGAAGCTCATCAGGGTCCTCGAAGAAGTCCTCATCGTCCTCGTCGCCATCCTCCCCAAACTCATCCTCCTCTTCGTCGAAGCCCTCCTCCTCCTCGGCTGCCTTCCTGCCGTCCTCTGCAAGCCCAAGGCGGCAAAAGCCCACGGCGTCTTAAACACGAACCAGTACGGCATGTGTAATTGCATGACGACAAGACAAACGGGAAAAAAACGGGAACGGGAACGGGAAAAAAAACGCTACACCACCAGCTCTATCCTTCCCCATCCCCTGGGCGGCGAGGGGGGCATCCCCATCGGCATCTACACCCCCCCTAAAACGTCCCCGACACAATTTCCGACTCACCTTCCGACACACCACTCGCTGGCTCGACATTGGGCGCCAGCTCCGACTGCGCGAGGCGTAACGTAATGTAGCGGAGTTGGTGCGTGTGTGCATGTTTTTTTGACTGAATGTTTAGGCCCGAGGCATCGTACGGGTTGAGAGGTGCGACATACAACACAACTGTGCCGCAGGAAGGAAGTCATCCAGTTATGAGTTGGAGCTCCTCTGTAGAAGATAGCTGGGTATTTGAGGAGAGCTGTGTTGCTGAGTGGCTGTCAATTCGTGCAATTTCGGCGTCGTGGTGGCTGGTCGAGGTGCTTTGCATGTCGTCGTTGCATGTCGTACGTTCCCTTCCCTAAATGGGTTCGGGTATCCCGGTTGGGCCTGTGGTTACCGTTTCCAGATCCTTCCTCTGCTCCCTCGCCTTCCCCGGTGCGCTAACCTGACGATACCCACTCAACCCCACCATGCGGTTTGCCCTTTGCTCTGTTTTTTTCACATCACCACACCACCCCTGCATTACGGCAACCTCGGCCTCCCGTTCTCGCCCTCCGGCAAGCGCGAATCATTACTCCAACTTGGCGGTGGTGGTGATGCTGGCTGCTGCTGCATGCTTCAACGAAATGCCACACACACGCGCACACACACGCGCGGGGGGGCCCACGCTTGCGCCTCGACGCAAGTGCCATCGTCACCGTCGTCCTACAAGGACGCACCTCGATTTCGGAGCGGTACCGCTCCACCTCAGCGCGACCCAAGACCCGAACCACCAGGTCCGCCTCCTCCTCACTGTCGTCGTACACAAACCGTACCTCCGGCGTCCGCCGGAGCCGTACACGTTGCCCAATTAGAACCCGTACATACCTGCACACCCGGTGCCAGGGCATCATCACCGTGTCAGGACGGTGCCGCAAGCGCTCAGACGCCGATTTGGGACCGCCGTAATCTCTAAAACATCCACACCCACCCACCCACACGCTCGCAAAGAGATGCACAAGACCCCCGGGGGGTAGCAGGGGTCGCTTGGCGGCGGTTCCACCCTCCTAGTAAGACACACGCTCCCTGCACCCTTCACAGGGACATACCCCCCCCCCCGGCACTGCTACTTACGGCTCCAGGCGCGCCAAGTTTTGCATGGCGACTCGCTTGCCGTAGTCGTCGCTGTACACGGAAACAAACACCTTGACCACCTGGTATCGCATCGCGCGCGGTGTGGAGCAGTCATGGGATAGATTTTACCATTCCCTGCAGGTCTTGAGATAATGATAAGCGAGAAGACGGCGCACACAGCGGTCCTGGCACTTTGGATGGGATTTTTGGGGACGCAGCTCATGTCCTCCGCCTGTACCCAATCCGTGCATTATAAACAGTCATGTTTGCATCGATCAGCTCGATGTGCATCATCGATCATGTGCTCCTCCCCACCATGCGGTACCCCCCTCCTCGAGGTCTCCCCCCCTGGCACCTTCACGGACGCCTTTTGGTCAGTTCTACTTCTGGCACTACACTCTTGCCCTGGCAGCAGCTTCACTCGTTCACGTGGTTCGTCTTTCCCCCCCTGCGGTGCCGACCCCGCCTCGACCTCAGCCCAGAGCCAGAGCCAGCCCCCCCAGCCTTTGATAAGGGTGAATGAACTTCGGAGCATCCCGGCTCTTAAGGGGCGTCGGTCATATCATCAACGGCCACATCTCGCCACCCAGCCGGCTACAGCCGGGCGAAACGCAACCGCAACCGCCGCCGCCGCTGCCGCCGCACCTGCAGGTCGTTGGATACGTAGGTATTGGTGATGCTGGCTACCGCTGACAGCATGTCGCCACCGCCCTTCCGCTCCGGACAGATGGCAGCTTGGATCACCTGACGATAAGGTGTGCAGATGTGCGCGTGTGCGGATGAGAGGCTTAGGTAAGGCTGGGTTAGGTTGGTTTGGTTTGGGCTTAGGTAAGGCTGGGTTGGGTTAGGAAGACAAAAAGGCGGTAAACAGGAAAAGAAGGGACGGGGGAAATAAAGAGAGGAGGCAGGAAGCGGGCAGTGGCGCATATTGTCGGTCGGGAATGGTTAGGGAGCGATGCAGCGGATGCAGAGGATTATGGCGCGATTAATGCTCCAGAAAGCGTCAACAACAATGAAGCTGTTCATGTGTGAAGAAGGTCAGCTGCCAAACGCCTAAGGCCGATAGACAGCTCGGAAAATTATCAAACGGCTATAATGCCTGTAGTGCGTGAGTGAGTGAGCACAGGCCTCCTTTCTCTTTCCCCCCCCCCCTGACGGGTGGGTGCAGGAAGGCGTTCCTACGTGTATGTGCGCCAGCATGCATGTGGGTCCACGCCAGAGTGACCGGACAGACACTTACAGCA